AAAGCCCTCAATAGGAGACAAGAATCTGGTTAGAAATCTTATCTATGTATTTGTCTAGTTCGGACTAGGGAAGTTGTGTATTGTCCAGTCCATAGGACACAGATTATGGTAATGAAAACTCCTCCATACCATTCTTAGTACTGTGTGTATATTGTCACTTCACGGGCACTAGTTTTTTGTTTTTTGGGGTTGTTTTTTTAAATTGTTTTTTGTTTGTGAAGGGTGTTGAGACAGGATCTCTCTACTTTAGCCCTGGCTGTCCTAGCACTTACTCAGTAGACCAGGCTGGCCTGCACTCACAGAAATCCACCTGTCTCTGCCTCCCAAGTGCTGGGATTAAAGGAATGGGCCCCCATGCCCAGCCAAGAAATGCAGCTTTTAATAAGGAGGGAAAACGGGAAAATGTTACATTTTAAAGACTGTTGAGGAGAATGGACTCAGAGGTGTTATTTTAGAGAAATGTTTGTTTTTACAACTTCTGTTTCAAGGGATTAGCAGATATAATACTAATCTTTGAAAAGCCAAGTTAGTCACACACACACACACATCCCTGGAAAACATTGCTATTCATGGGAAAGCCATTCGGTGCACTGAGAAAGAATAATCTTGGGTGGCAATAGCAGCAGGTAGGGAGTGCTGAAAACGCCGTGCAGTGGTGGAGTTCTTACCTAACATGCACAAGGCCCTGCGTTCCATCCCCAAGGTTGCAAAAGCAAAAAATGGAACTTAGGATGGCGGCTCCATCAAGGTTACCCAGAGGCACCAAGGTGAAAGCCAGATTCAGCCTAAGGACAAAGATGCCACCATTCTGACCTTAACAAAACTACTTTCAAATTATATGCCATAGAATCTCATTCTCCGCAGCTCACATTTTGCTTCTTTTGAAACCTTACCCATTCTATTAGCATAACCACTCACAGCATTGTTTGGGGACCAATACTTCTCCAACTGTGTTATTTTTTAATTATTCATGTATCTGCTTTTATCTCCGACCTGGGAACTTCAAGGCATGATCTGTTTTATTCAACTTTATATCTCTATTCTAGCACACTCCGAGTAGGCATTAGTAAGTGTTTGTTAATGTGAATTAATTATATAGTGAATTTCTGACCCTCCTGCCTCTATCTCCCAGGTTCTGGGATTAGAGCTATGTGCCATCATACCAGACCCACTATTCCCTACCCTCCCCCCAACAAGGTTTCACTATCATTATGTATCCCTGGCTGGCCTTGAATTTTAAAAGGAGACCAGGCTGGCCCTAAACTCATAGAGATCTGCCTGCCTCTGCCTCCCGAGTGCTGGCGTTTCCCTTAGAAAAATTATTTCTTTTTTTTTTTTTTTAGCTAAAATACATTTAAAATTTTAAGATACACTCATTTATTCTCTCTGTTTGTGCCTTTACCTACCATATGCTGGGATATAGGCACATGCTGCCACACTTGGCTATTTATGGTAGAATCCAATCATTTTTAGAGACTAGATCAGGATCAAAGAAAAGTCAATGGCCTTAAGCAGTGTTTCTCTAAGTACAGCCAACAGCCAGTTACAAATGAAGGTTCCATAAGTGAATCCTATGTCTGTGGATCAGTATTTCTCATGGAGAAACTGAAATTTACATTGTTCACAGCATCCCAAGCAATTCTGTAAACATTAAGTTATTATGTAAAACAGTTTTAAGGAATTCACAGTATCCTAAGCAATTCTGTAAACATTAAGTTATTATGTAAAATAGTGCTAAGGAGTTTCACTTGAAAGGCTCCAAGAATTGTCCTATTTTAAACTACACACGTTCACTCTTGGACTATCTCTAGCTACACGGTTCTCTCCTTCCTAAATGGTGAAGAATAAACTATTGAATCCTAAACCCTAAAATAATCTAGCTCAGAGCTGGGCGGTGGTGACACACACCTGTGTTCCTAGCACTCAGGAGGCAGAGGCGGGCAGATCTCTATGAGGCCAGCCTGGTCTTTAGAGCGAGCTTCAGGACAGCCAGAGCTGTTACACAGAGAAATTCTGCCTCAAAATAAATAAATAAGTAAGTAATAAAAATCTAGGGTTGGGGATTTAGCTCAGTGGTAGAGCACTTGCCTAGCAAGTACAAGGCCCTGGGTTCGATCCTCAGCTCAAAAAAAAAAAAATCTAGCTCTGTAGTTAAGACATCTATCTGATCCAGTCCCACAATCAGTATGCTTTCTTCAGAGAAGGAAGAACATGATTGATTTGTTAAGGGCATCAAGATTTCGAACTTTTACATTTTTTAATACAACAAGGTGTTCCTCGGAAAACATGACAGTTCCTGAATTGTTTAAAACTCCTAACCACGTTTTGCATTAGTTCTCTTTTTAGTTTTATTATCATACTCCCACTGCCTCACCCCACCCCTAGTCTTCTATGTTAGCCAAGGCTATCCTCAAACCCAGCATTCTCCTAACTCAGCCGGCCCAGGGCTGGAATTACAGGCATGAGCTACCACGCCCTGGATCTTGGAAGGTGGCCAAATCACTCAGCACTCCTGACTGCTCTCTCTACCTTCATACTGTTCCAAGTGTATGTAGTATGCAGCTAATGAGAAGTTCATTTTTTATAATACAAAAGAATCATACATTCTATAAACTTTTTCTTCCCAGAATTTCTAAAAGCATTCTGGAGGATCAGACGATCGTGACATATAGATAAAGAATAAGAGGATGTAGCTGAGCATGGATATTTGGAGTAACCTGCAGTGCATATGTAAATGCTATGTAAGCCAGGCAGTGGTGGTGCACGCCTTTAATCGCAGCACTCGGGAGGCAGAGCCAGGTGGATCTGTGAGTTCAAGGCCAGCCTGGTCTACAGAGCGAGATCCAGGACAGGCACCAAAAGTACACAGAGAAACCCCATCTCGAAAAACAAAACAACAAAAAAGTGTATGTAAATCAGACATAAATACAATTAATACACACTAAAAGACAATTCTTATAGATTATTTCTTTTTGTTTTTTTGAGACAGGGTTTCTCTGTGTAGCCTTGGCTGTCCTCAGAGATCCTGCCAGTCTTTGCAGCCTGAGTGCTGGGATCAAAGGCGTGCGCCACGATCGCCCTGCTAGATTATTTGTTATGTTAAAAAGAGACATAGCTGTACAAAAGACTTAAATTGCTTGTCTTTTCTCGTTTTACGATTTTCCTCTTCTGACCTGATGGTAACAATAATTTAAAACTGAAACTAAAACAGTGAAGGAAGCAAGATTTCAAAGTGGACTTTCCCCTGGTCTCCAGTCTCCCTTAGGCACTAGGTACAATCTTCCTACTGTAAAAAAAAAAAAAAAAAAAAAGTGAACTTTTTCCTCAGCACTCTAGAAGATGAAGATCTTACAGAAAGATCCTGTTTCAATAAACAAACCCCACTACCAAAACCGACTATTTACTTTTTTTCTGGAAATGTTAAATTTAGTATATGAAGATACACTTTGAAATTTTGACGTAAAGAGGTTTTGAATATTACACACACACACTCTGTTTTTGTTTTTGTTTTTTTAATTCAAAGACAGGGTCTTCCTATGCAAATCTTAACTGGCCTCTGATTTTCCTGTCTCAGCCTCCTTAACCCTGAGATTACAGATGTGTGTCAGACAGAACATTCAACTTTAAAGTGGTAACATTGTCAAGATTTAACAACCACAACATATTAAAAAATTACTCCTGCCGGGCATGCCTTTAATCCTGGCACTCCATAACTTATATTAGTAAATGTTAGATAGAATATTTGTCGACTTAAGTATACTGAAGCTGGAGGCCAGAACAGTGGCAAACACATTTAATACCAGCACACGGGAGGCAAAGGCGAGCGGGGGGAGGGATCTCTGAGTTCCAGGCTAGCCCAGTCCGAAGATCCAGTTCCAGGACAGCCAGGGCTACTCAGAGAAACCTCCTCTAGAAAAAACAAAAAAGTGAAATTAATAAGGCTTCATAGAATTGCTTTCCTTTGGAGAGTATAAAAATCTTCATAGTTATTGTTTAATGCTTTTCAGAAGAGAAGCAGATAAAACCAAAAAAACAGGGCCAGGGATGTAGTTCAGGTTAGAGGAGTGTTTCTCTGGCATGTATAAAAGCTCTGGGTTGCATACATAGTGAGTCTGAGGCCAGCCTGGACTGCAGGAGACCCTGTGGCAAGCAAGCAGAGGCAGAACATACTGTATAGAGTTTGTTTCCTCACCAGACACTTTGTTGAGACACTAGGATTTGAAATATTTGAAAATCAACACATATAGAAATTGGTAGCATTTAAGAGTCTCGTGCTTTTTGACCAAGTAGGTTTTCCTCTGTACTCTGCACTTGCATCCTATACACACCGAATGAGGACGGGAAAGAGAGAAATACACATACCTAAGGATTTCCTCTTTTATGTGTCAAGTTTCCAACCCTAGAGTATTCCAAGTATTTATGACGGAATGTCTGTATTTTGTGGTGCTTGATAAAAAGAACTTAACTCAATTTTTAGAGCTGGCCTCTGGCAAACACATTGTGTAAAATCAAAGGCAGATTTAAGCAATATAGAGATAAGAGTTCCACTTTTTTTGATGTATATTGAGTGGATGAGCTGCAAGGTTTTAAATAAAAAAAACTCAAAGACAACTTTAAAAACTCCAAAGCACTAGAAGGGAAAAATAAACACTTTGTGCCTCAGATGCAAGAAATTTAAGAATGGTCGCGGCTCAGCATGCTTGCCAGCTTTCAGTTTTGCCATAATTTTAACATTGCCAGAATCCCTTCCCACCCCCCACCCCCAACTCTATCCCTTTGTTTGGGCAAAACTCCCAAGGATTCAGGACAAACTTGGTGACAGATTAGTGACTGACTGGTTAAGGGACTGTCAGTCGGTGCAAACAGGAGAGGTATTAACTAGAGTCCCGGGGGGGGGGGTGCGGGGGGAGAGTCACCCCTTTGGAGACCTGTGATGCAATGGACCATTAGCAGAATGGCGTGGGAGTAAGGGGCGTTTTCACTCTGGTCAGTCTAATTACCTCTGATGAGCCTCAGAGATCACTTAGTGGAAGCCTAGGCCAGGTACCCCGCACCGAAAGGTGGCGACAGCGACATCAGCGGTTAAATGTGAGCCTTCCCGCAGAACGGTCTAATGCACCTGTCTACTACGGTTACTTGCGCTGTGGGTTCCTAGATTAAAACGGGAGAGGCAGAAGGGTTGGGAGAAGGGAAGGAGGAGCCGGAAGGGTTCAGGAAAAAAAAAGGGGGAAGGGGAGGGGAGGGGAGCAGGACGCCACCCCGCAGGCCACAAGGTTTACGGGCGAGATCTTGCCGTTCCCATGGAAACGTATCCCTCCGCCCGTGCGACTCGAGTTCGGCCTCTCAGTCCCGTCCGCCCCCTCCCCTCCCCGCTCCGCTCTGCTCCGCTCCGCCTCCGGGCTGTGTCCGCCCAGCTCCTTTGTGCCGCGCAGAACGTTGGCACGACGCATGCGCCAGGGGAAAAAAAAAAAAAGAATCCCCCGCCCGCCGCCTATATAAGCGCGGCTCCGGCCTCTTCCTCGTTAGTGCCGCCGGGAGTGTCGCCGGGGAAGGTCGTGCGGCCGCTTCCGCGCTACTCGGGGCTCTGCGTGTGCGCGTGTGTGTGTGTGGGTCTGCGTGTGTGAGCCGAGGACGCGGGGCCGGCCATCATGTCACGTTACGGGCGGTATGGAGGAGGTGAGCGGCTGGGGGGGGGACCCCCTAAGCCCCCCGGTCTCCGGAGGTTAGGACGGGGCTGTGGGCCGCAGCGGCGGCGGCGGTTGGAGACGGTTACATCCCGCGTGCGTAATGGCGGCTCGGGCGCACGCCGGCCGGAGCCGGAGGCCGCGGGGGCGGGGTGGAGGAGAGCGGAGAGCGGGAAGCGGCCATGTGTGTGCGCCGGAGGCCTCGGGCGCTGGGGGGCCGTGCGGGCCCCAGCGGCGGGGGCCCCAGGCGGGCAGCTGGTGGGACGCGTTGGCCGCTGCGGGGCTGCCCTTCTCGGCACGGCCGCCCGCTCGCTTGCCCGCCCGCCGCCGCCGCCGCCGCCTCCTTCCCCCCTCACCCCCCGCCCTCGGCGGCCGCGGCTGCCATTTTGAGCACATTGGACGAGCGTGGTGGCGCATTTCCTCAGCGCTTTTCCCGCCACTGGAGCCGGGGAGTGGGGGGAGAAGCAGCAGCTGGGCGTCGAGAGCCCGGCTTGGAGGATTTGGAGGCCAGGGCGAAACGGGCGGGCGGGCGGCGCGGCGTCGCCCCAGCAACGGGTTGAGTGGAGGAATGGAGCGGGAGGGGGGGAAAGATGGTTGTTGCGACCGGCGATGGCTGCTTTTTTTTTTTTCTTCTTTTTCCGCCTTTTTTTTTTTTTTTTTTAAGCCTTTCCAAGCGTGGCTTCTGGGCTCTGGGGGTTGGGGTGAGCCTGCGCCTGCTGGGGTAGGACAAGGGACCCCGGGGCCGGCCCTGCTAAGGGGGAGACCTCTCCCTCCCCCCCCCCCTTCTCCCCGGGCCGGGCCACGGGAGCCCGCGCGCTCGAGCTCGCCCCGGGGCTGTGCCGGGACCGAGGGGTGGGGGGTGGGAGGCGGGGCCCACCCCACGCCTCTTCCCCACCACGCTCCTTTTTGCAGCGTTTCCACCAAGGTTTCCACCCTTGAAGAACGCCAGAACTCGGTCACGAGTCGGGCTTTCATCATTTCACGGGGTTATTAAGGCTACCATTGAACCGTTGGTGGGGAGCTCCAAATAAAAGGAGCCAGGGCTTGGTGGCGCATGCCTTTTTAAAAAGTCCCAACTGCCTCAGGGAGGCTGGAGGCCTGCAAGTCACTTGAGCGACGGAGAGATAAATATTTGGGAGTGTGGCTCCGTAGTAGATCGCTTCCTGGCTCGGTCTCCTTGAACACCCCCGAAACAAAAACATTGTACCTTGCACAGCTTTAAGGATAGTCTGTTGTAAGGAAATGAATCAAACGTAAGATACACTTGGAACAACGTTTGTTCTGTTTGCATTTTTTAAACAGAAACCAAGGTATATGTCGGTAACCTGGGAACTGGTGCTGGCAAAGGAGAGTTAGAAAGGGCATTCAGTTACTATGGGCCCTTAAGAACTGTGTGGATCGCCAGAAATCCTCCAGGATTTGCCTTTGTGGAATTTGAAGATCCTAGAGATGCAGAAGATGCAGTTCGAGGATTGGATGGGAAGTAAGTGGGTTGTTCTAGAACTTCATTAAAATATTCCTGTGGGCTAGATCATAATCCTGGTGCTAATCTTAGATTTCTCGGTGGAGGGGGCTTTGTATTTTGGCTGTCTCTCCAACCTGTGCTGGCCTGGAGCTCACCATAAAGCTCAGGTAGTGGTTGGAGCCAGCCTCTAGTGCTGGCATTACAGGTGCCTGATAATTTTAAGATTCAAGACCAAAAGTGCAATTGGAAGAGCTTTGCAAACAAAGACAAAGCTTGTAAGGAGGAAAGTGTAGTTTGTTGACGGTTCTTTTGAATTTAGAAGAATCAGATGAATGTTTTAACTTTAGTGTTTTCTCATTCTTTTGTAGGGTGATTTGTGGTTCTCGAGTGAGGGTTGAATTATCGACAGGCATGCCTCGGAGATCTCGTTTTGATAGGCCACCTGCCCGACGTCCCTTTGATCCTAATGATAGATGCTATGAGTGTGGTGAAAAGGGACATTATGCTTATGACTGTCATCGCTATAGCCGGCGAAGGAGAAGCAGGTATTTAATTAATAAAGGAATGGTTGGTATTCTAGTTAATCAAAGTAATTTTTTTATTAGCAAGGCAGAAACTAGTGTTTTTCTATAAACTTGAATGTTAATTGTACAGGTGTATTTTACAATTTTTTTGTTTAATTAAAAATGTTAATATATTAATAATCAACCTGGTCAAAACCTTTCAGGTTTCTTCGTTTGAGTCAGTCGCCTTGATTCAGAATGTCACGAGCCTTATGATATCATGCTGAGGCGCCTTGCAAATCCGACAATTAAGATCCTCCTAGACCTTGAGGTGATCAGCATAAGAGGCCAGATCCCCTCGAGTCATCTACACCTAGCTTCACCTTATTCTTTAAAGGGCAGAAAATTTGAGTCGGTGATCGCCGTAACAGTAAATTTGGCTTACAATTGGGGCCCCCTCCGCTTTAGAAAGAGGAACACCAGATTGACCACATTCCCAACTAGAAAAATCTTCTTGCGTCAATCAAGCCTCACCTGGCTCTTTTGGCTGTCAGTTTGATCGTCGTTAGATTGAAGAAAACATCTAGATGCAGCGATCGGCTATAGATACTTCTAGATCGTCTAGATCTACTAGACCTACTACTAGACCATGGGCCAAAGAGGGTCGACCTGCAAACTTGCAAGGTTTATTTTAAATACACATTATGGTGCTTTATATTTTGTAATTCTAAGTTGTAATTCAGCTTTTAACAAATCTTTTTTTAGGTAGTAAAAAAAAAAAATTATAGGCCCAGAGCTTTTCCAAATGAGATACTAAATTTTAAATAGTTTGAGATTTGATTTCAGCAGAGGTAAACAAACACTAAAACCGAGTTATGGTCTAATATTTTGTAATTTTCTAACTTGAAAAATAGGTCAAGATCTAGATCACATTCCCGATCCAGGGGAAGGCGATACTCACGCTCACGCAGCAGGAGCCGGGGAAGGAGGTGAGAAATCTTGTAAAATTCAAGGGTTTGTTTTGGGTTTTTGAGACAGGGTTTCTCTTAAGAGCTCTGTCTTGGAACTGTTCTGTAGACCAGGCTGGCCTCGAACTTACAGAGATCCACCCGCCTTTGCCTCTCAATTACTGGGATTACAATTATGTGCCAACACCACACAGCTAAAATTCAAGTTTTAGCAAGTAAAACAAAAGGAAGAGATGGGCTTAGAATTTCTTTTAATTTTTAGGTCAAGATCAGCATCTCCTCGAAGATCAAGGTCTGTGTCTCTTCGTAGATCAAGATCAGCTTCACTCAGAAGATCTAGGTCTGGTTCCATAAAAGGATCGAGGTATTTCCAGTATGTAACACATTTTTCCTGCTTACTTGTCATGGTGGCTTGTCATGTCTTAATGACACAGTGAAGTATCTTAATTAAACGAGATACTTCGGAATGTTTGAGATGTAAAGGTTATTTTATTTACTAAATGTGGTAATGCACTATTGTAGTCCTAGCACTGGGGATTTGAAGACAGAAGGGGAGCATAATGAGGTTCACACCCCACCTCAGAACAGAATAAAAAAGTAAATAAGTAGTTCCAATGAATAATTTGGGTAGGCCTGATGCTAACTGGCTAAAAGATAATATTTGGCAGGGCTGGAACAGTTAAGAGCACTGGTCGCTCTTCCAGAGGACCTGGGTTCAATTCCCAGCACCAACATGGCAGCTCACATCTGTCTGTAACTCCAGTTCCAGGGGCTCTGATGCCAATGCACATAGTTAAATAAATAATATACTATTTTTTTAAAAAAAGGAAAATGGTAGGCTATAGAGGTTGCCATCTTGAACCTAGAACAACATCCCCACACCCCACCCCACCCACCCCTGCATTGGGGGAGGAGAGAAACAGTTCCCACAAGTTGCTTTCTGAATTCTGGAAGGTTAATGGCATTCACGTACACAAACATACAGTCAGTAAATGAAGTGTAAAATTTAAAACATTTTTGGAATGAGTACATTTGAGGCTGGATCTGTCTGCTGCCTCTTGAGTGCTGTGATTAAAATTGTATGCCGCCACACCAGCTGGATAACAGAAAACCTTACATTTGGATACATTTCATAAATAAGGAATTTGTACTACAGATGCAGAGGCAGTTGTATATAAAAGTCACTGGCCTTTACTGCTGTTGAATATCAAAACCTTTAGGTACAATAATTGAGTTACCAATTTCAGAAAATCATTGCAGTTTAATTATATGATCTCAAGGTTTTTAAAAAATATAGTCAACCTAACTTGGTTTGACAAATTCAGGACCTTCAACGGTGGTAACAATAAAAAGTCAGCAATTTTCTCAGATGGAACCCTGTGTATGTAATTTTGGTTATTAGTGTATGAAAATGGGACTATTGCACAGGTGTAGTGCCCGATTGTGTATGACAGAAGCAGGTGTTTGAATAGTGGTTCTCTTTGTATTTGAAATGTCCGTTTGATCTTTTGTACTGCAT